CTTGGTAAATGTATGAATCCTCTTCTTCTCCCCCACCACCCTAGCTATGGGGAAATAGCAGTACAAACCGGGTTCTATAGACTTGGATGGCAATTGGTCTACCGCAGAAAAAAATGGCAACCTACTACGGGAAAAGTCTGCCCTGTCAGTCATGTATCGAAAGATACATGGTTGCCTAAACGTGTATCACTGACTGACTGACGTAACGTCCAATGGCCGTAAGACAACGAAGCAACAGTGGGGGCAATAGTATATGATCGTGATGAACTTAGCTGCAGGCTTAACATTTGATTTAATATATTCTTTCCACTTTATGCGAGCTGAAAACGTTAGTCCGAGAAGGCACAATGAACCCCTTTCCAGGAGGCTAGCGTCATCCATATTGATGGAAGGTAAAAAAAGGTTCTCTCAGATGAGTAAATAAGAGCCATTTTGTTTTTGAGTCATCAAAATTAATAAAACAAACCTTGTCCCACTTAACAACAGGTCGTAGGTCATTTTTGAGATCAGCTGTTAATTGGGCCTTATTGAATCAATCAGACTTATCTTTAAGACAGGAGTATATAGTTGTGTCATCAACATAAATACCTAGTTAGGAATGAATGACATCGGGAAGGTCATTGATGAAGACCTGGTAAATGAAGTAAATAAGTCAAACATTGCAACTAGGCTGTCACAATTTTTACTTAGTCACCAAAGAAACATGTTATCCTAATATTATGTTGATAAAACATTCTCCTAAGCGATATCTTTTTGCTGTCATCAGCATTTAAGTATCTCAGCTACAAACACTGAAGGTTGCTTTGAACTCTTCACATTTAATTTCATTTTTTATTTTCCTTTTCTAAAATGTTCTAAAATGTCTTCTCAATATATTTGTTAATATTTCATTGTTCAAATTCTGTTTTATTTTTCCTTTGGACTTACACCATTCCATCAAAAATTGTTTGTGGGTCAAATGTATCAGGTGCATAAAAATCTCATCAGAAGTGTTGAAGTTGGCAACAAGGTGTAAAGAGTTGTTTTCCTGACGTTTAGCATCAGTTATGGCAGGCAGGAAAGGTTCTCTATTAAATGAAAGCAGTTTTGTTTTGTAAGCATTCAAATTTACAAGCCATCACTTACCTCAGTTACCTGTCTTTTTCAAGAGAAGTTACTTTGTCAGACTTATTCGACTTGTTACCAAGACAGGAGTTAATAGTTGTGTCATCAGCATCAATACTGAGCTGAGAATTCAGGGCATCAGTTTATGAAGTGGAAAGAATAAACTGAATCAATTGCTCGGTCAGCTGCTTGGGAAGATGGTTACCTGTGTCCTGTAAGACACTTTTTCTCCCTTGAATCTATCTTACATATTTATAAGTCTATCATTCTTCCTCGCTTTGTATACTGCTGACATATCTGGTCTGGTGTTCATGAAAATGCATTTGCATTAGCCCGGTATTCACCAAACCTCCCCACAAGACAAGATGTGGCGCAAGGCCAATTTATGTGTGGGGCTCGACAAAACTTCCCAGTAGATCTCGCATACAAAATGTCGGTTTTGTCAACCTCCTCAAACGAGAATCTGCTCCGCGACTGTCAGTTCTTGACAAAATCCAAAGAAATATCTGCAATGTTATTGGTTCTGACCTTGCGTAAAATTCAAAAAATTTAAATTATCTACTGTTTTCTTAATTCTTTTAATGTTCTCTCTCTTTAAAAGTGTTTTATTTTTCTCATTCTGTAGCACTCAGTAAATGCTTGTGTCTTAGCTGTTGGAATTTTTGGGTACCCTGGTGTACTAGTGAGCCAGCCAAAATGAGCTGACTCATTTTATAGTTCACCAATAGAAAGGTTAACCAATCAGAAGGCTCAAAATATTCAATGCGACGTGTATAAAGGTGGCCATGTTTTTCCCGAATATGCACTGCCAGCCTTTGATATCGAAGACTGAAGAATTACGGAACAGCTGCTGGTGGTATTGGCGATATAGTCAGATTCAGTAGAGTGTCTGACTCGTGAGTGTTAATCTTTAACGTTGTTTCATTGAACAGATTATCTACTGCGCTGTATTCTATATTCATAGACTATGGTGAACATAGTCAACGTTAGCGGTTTTATTGCCTTGCTTGGGGGAAATTATTAAAAAAAACTATTTTTTTAAATAATAATAATAATAATTAGTAGTAGTAGTAGTAGGGCAACAGAACAAAATCTAATTCCAAATTGATTAAATTTCCAATTTCTTGTAAAATTTGTTATTTCATGGGTAAATAAAGAATTAGATGCTACTTCTTTGAATGCCTGCGTGGTCAGTAGTAGCATTCTTAAGCCACAAAGTGTGATGGGCGTTAAAGTCACCAAACACAAAAATGTGAGCAAACGGGTGGAGAGAGAGAGCCTTGTCTATGTTGTCAGAAATGCTATCAAGTATCTCACAGTCTTGAGAGGATGGAGAGCGGTAAAGGAAGAAGAGTTAGCTTACCGCATTGAGGAGAGAGAGACACAGGTATGACTGGTCTGGCGATTCGAGAGAGGACTCTCTGGCCAGAGGGAGATGTTCCTTGACGTAGACACCAAGACCGTGCATGTGGGTTATAGAGTCTTTTCTGAGGAGAGGAAGATAGCCGGGGATCGAGAGATCAGAGGAGGGGATAGACGAAACAAGGTTGGTCTCACAGAGAGCCAGTATATCCGGGCCGTTTGCAGTGAGGAAAGATTCCATACTGCAGAAGTTTGTCGTAATGCCCCGGATGTTGGAGAACGAAATGTTGAGGGGTTTAGGTGGTTTTTGAGTGGCTGGTTTAGGGTTAATCTTTGGGTTTTTGTAACTCATATTGAATTTTGTTTGTAAGATGAGAAGGCCCGAAGTAAAAGAAACAGACAGTTTCGAACGTGACGCGTGCAGAGAGGAGTTGGCAAAATCTGCATCATTATGTGGCCTCAGGGCTGCCCACCGGAGGTGACTGCAGGGACACCTTTCCATGCGCGACATGGCACTACAAACACCCCGGTATTATACAACTGTTGATCAGAGCGGCCGCTCAAGACGCTACGCAAGAGTTAGGGCTCCTAACTACCAGTCGGAACTGCTGGAAGTTCTCTTCGATCGTTCCTGTCTTCAAGAACTCTGGCGACCCCTCTGACCCTTCCAACTACCGTCCTATCAGTCTCCTTCCCCTCTTCGGCAAAATCTTCGAAGCCGTAATCAATATCGGGGCGATTAACCACCTCACATCCCATAATCTGCTCTCAGACAAGCAATATGGTTTCCGCTTTGCCCGATCTACAGCCAATGTGCTTGGCCATCACGGCCAGTCTACCGAGCTCTTCAAAATAACGGGAAGTCTGAGCCGTGGCACTTCACAATCTCCAAAGCATTTGATAGGGTTTGGCATGCCAGCCTTCTTTGCAAACTCCAGGGTTATGGCATTACGGGTCGATTATATCACCTAATACGATCATTCCTGTCAAACCGTGAATTGAAGGTCGTTCCTCAACGGATTCTCCTCCAGTTTCTATCCCACGAACGCAGGTGTTCCTCAACATAGGCCCCCTATTCCTTATCTACATAAATGACCTTCCTGACGCCATAACTTCTCAAGTTGGCATCTACGCGGATGACACCACAATTTATTCCTGCCTCAAAACAAATCTAGTCTCGCTGACAAAACTCACCTGTCCGTGCGTCTCGAAAAGGACCTCCAATCGATTATGAACTGGGGCAGAAATTGGCTGGTCAACTTTAATGCCTCAAAAACAAAACTACTCTCTATTAATCACCACAGAGATCCTTCCCTGCCCTCCATTAGAATGTCTGACGCTCAAATTCTCGAGAGCGCCTCTCTGCGACTTCTCGGTCTCACGTTGACTGCTGACCTGAGATGGAATAAATACATCGAGTCAATTGCCTCGTCCACCGCAAGGAAAGTTGGCTCCCTGAGCCGCGCTAGGAAGTTTTTCTCCCCGGAGTCGATCCTCCAGATCTACAAATCAACAATTTGCCCTTCATGGAGTATTGCTGCCATATATGGTCTGGTGCCCCTTCTGTTTGCCTCGGGGTTCTTGATAGGCTCCAGAGGCGGATATGCAATGTAGTTGGCCCTGATCTGGCATCTCGTCTACAGTCGCTCTCTCACAGACGCACCGTCGCCTCCCTCTGTCTGTTCTACAAATACTTTCATGGAAATTGCTCCGAGGAGCTGCATTCGCTGGTTCCCAGACGTCATGAGTTCCAGCGCCTTACGAGGCTGGCATCCCACTCTCACCCCTTCACTGTCGAAACTCCTAAATGTAGCCGTCTCTTCTACTCTAATAGCTTCATGTCTCTCACCTCTCGCCTGTGGAACTCCCTTCCCTATTCCTGTTTCCCTGTGAGCTATAATCTCCAGTTATTCAAGTGTAATGTCAATCGACATCTCCAGTTGCCTTGATCTATCCACTACCCTCATCTTTTCTTCTATCACTCCTATCTGATCTTGCTCTAAACTTTCTGTAACCCCTTGCGTCCTAGTGGCTTCCCGCCTTGCTTGGGGTGAAATGCTTAAAAAAAAAAAAACTTTACAGGAGTTGAATCCATTGTCATAAAACAAGATCTAGTATCAAAAGGGCCAAATTGACAACTGGTTAAAATGTCTCATATGACAAAAAACTTTATTCTGTAGGCCTATATAAAGAATAGAAAAAAAAAACTAGAAACAGGCAACCATAACTGGAACGAACGAATCGTTTAGGGGGAAAATAGGAAATTGTGGAGAGTCATAATCCATCACGTCATAAAGAGATGCGAGGCATAAAAGAAGTCAACTGAATATCCTAGAATTTGTTCATGTACAAACGGTTTAATAATGTGAGGCCCTAAAAAAAAACAAAAAAGCATGCGTGAGTGTAATGGCAAAAAATCGCCCGTGTCTGTGGCCTCTGTCACAAAGGCATCATAGCGACCCACTACTATTCTCCTTTTTTACATGCAGTAGGGAAGCGCTGCCCTGTGGTTGCAATTCCCAGGCCTGGTCTACTTAATTGGTGCTCTGTCTCGCCCGAAGACGAAAAACGACTGATCTTTGCCAAAAAGCCGGTCTGAACAAAGAGAGTCGACCAGGAGGAGAAATACAAAGATGGCCAATGTTAGATAAGACAGAGAGCAGTGAAAAAGAAGAAGAAAAAAAATCAAATGAAATAAAAAACGAAACAAAAAAAACCAAAAAACAGGGAAGATTATGAAATGAATGACGGGTGAAATGGCAGGTGAGGTTCGGGGTGGGTAAGTATTTCGCTAAAGATAAAAGAGCAAAATAGGATCACGAGTACTTACTTGGCTGGTCTTTTCAAAGATTTGTCGAGTGTGAAAGGCGTTGGGCGTTAGAGACTTCAAGTACCTGTCAAACAGAGAAATCCCTTTTAGATAACTTAAAAAAACAAAAACGGATGCAAAAACGAAAACAAGCTTGCTGAGATCAAAGACAAATTAAATTTGATTTAATAATCTTTTCATGAATGTTTTTTAATTTCTTTTTTTTTTTCGCATTCCATATTACTAGTTTATTACGAGTGATTAGAACGTTCGATTTTCCGACCGCTAGACCCGGGTTCGAATCTACCCAGGCTCGATTCGTCAGGAAGGTGATTTCATGGGGTGACGATCGTACATGAACAAATTCTAGGACATTCAATTGACTTCTTTTATGCCTCGCATCTCTTTATGACGTGTTGGATTATGGCTCTCCACAATTTCCTATTTTCCCCCTAAACGATTCGTTCGTTCCAGTTATGGTTGCTTGTTTCTTGTTTTTTGGGTTTTTTTTCTTCCGAATATTAAAGCCTCGAATGTCGAAATGTTGAAATTTGAAATCCCGAATTTATAACATCCAGAAAGATCAGAATCCGGAAATTAAAAATCCCGAAAAACAGTCTTAGTCAGAAATTAAAAAAAAAAGGAAATACCTTTATTTCTAAACATTTGCAAAATAGCGTTTAAATAGTGTTTATAGATTTGAAACATTCAAAATTCATTAAAAAAAAAAAAAATCAAACCAGAATATGGCATAGACGATTCTCATGTCGGTCTTCATTGCATTATTGGAAAGTTTAAAAAAGAACCGCATCACTTAGAAAAGGAATGTGAAGTCTTGCCCAAAAAGAAAAAAAAATGTGTGTTTTATCGACTTAAAAATATCGTTAACGATCGGGAAAACCAACCAGATCTTATAGACTATCATAGGGCTCTTGCTCATAATCTCTCATTATAAATTATTCATATAATCTGGTTTTATATTTTTTAATGAATTTTGAAGGTTTCAAATGTATAGACACTATTTAAACGCTATTTTGTAAATACATTCCGATTTTCAAATATTTTTCATACATTCGGGATTTCAAATTTCGGGATTTTAAAATTCAGGATTTCGGCATTCAAGATTTTAAGACTCGGGATTATAAACCAAACCCGATTTCATGATGTTATAGAACTGGAAGGGTGACCCCTGCGTGTGTCATCGTTTGAAAGTGCCTGGAAATGATACTACGGTTTGATCCAAGCTTTGTACGGGAAATTGAGTGGATGGGACAGTTTGGAAACCGTCGAAGACAAGTCAACGTGGCCGAGGGTTTGAACGTTCTGACCTTTCGCACACCATTACGTGCCATCTCCCCGAACCTAAGCAGAGGTGCAGTATAAATTACGGGTGGGCTCTGTGGGGGTCGAAAAACCACAACTGTGCCTGAGCAGCGATTGGCTAGTCGACATGTAGCTGTTGTTATCTGAATGCCGGAAAAGGCGATTTAGCCTAACGTTCCTTTATAACATTCATGTGCAATCTCTTTTCTCCTGAACTCTTGGGAAACTCAGGTTCTGGAAGCTTGGATGTGTGGATGGTGCAATGGATAATGACTCGGAATTGTTAATCGGAGAGACGAGTTCCAATCCCCGTTGGGTTTGTTATATTCGTTTACGCGCAAATGCCCTCGAGAAAAGTATGATTTCGCCGCTTCCCACCCAAGCTATTAGTTAATTAGTAAGATTTAGTATCACTAAATCATTATTATCTCCCTTCCCAACCCTCAAAATCATTGAAATCTAAAAATATTTCCTGGCTTTAAATAATTTGCAAAGGGTTGATAAACCGTAAAAAAAACGAATCAATGTTCTCCAAAACTGTCACTTTGCGGGACAGATTCCGAACAGAATGCTTCCCAAACCATTACAATTAGACCTTTCAAGTCTAGGGTCAATTGATATCTTACATATCCTTATAATATGCACTTACATTCTACAACCTTAAAACAAGCTCATTCACGAACCCTATAACATGCGTTCTTCTTTGGCCTTATATTCTACAACCATAAAACAAGATCATCCACACCCTCTAACATGAGTTGTTCTTTGGACATATTTCAAAACCTTAAAACAATCTCATTCACAAATCCTCAAACACGAGTTGTTCTTAGACCTTATATATTACAAACTTAAAACAAGCTCATTCATGAACTCTCTAAAATTAGTTTTTTCTTTGGCCTTACATTCTAAAACCTCCAAATAATCTCATTCACAAACCCTCTAACATGACTTGTACTTTGGCCTTATATTTTACAAACGTAAAACAAGCCATTCACAAACCCTCTAACGTAAGTTGTTCTTTGGCCTTATATTTTACAAACTTAAATCAAGGTCATTCATAAACATCTAACATGAGTTGTTCTTTGGCCTTATATTACGTGAACAATAATAATTAAAATAATTCCTATTCTTTACTTTTCTAAATAAATGTTATGTTTATATTTTTTCTCATTGTACACATTTATCCATTCATTAACACACATAAGTATGTTCTTTGCTTCTGTCTATATTTCTGAGATTATAACTATTTATTCTATTTACATTGTTCGGATTTTTATCTTCATTTTTCTAGCCATTTTCACCGCTTTTCAGCCGTTCTTCGGTCAGGCCGTCTACATCGGCCGAAACTTTGTGAATATAGCAACAAAGATATGGGCAACTTTCAGAAAAATGTAAATAGTTTCTTCGCCGTTTCTTTCTGCTTCTGTCTGAAATTGGATCCCCCAGTTCCTTGTTCCTTATTATGTGTCCAAGAAATTCCATCTCGTAACCATATATAAGAACGAATAAACAGAACCAATTTTAACTCTTAGCTGAGGTACTCTGCGTTTGCGTTGCATGTTTCGTCGTTTGGAAAATCGCAAATCCATGTCCTTAAATAACCTAAGTCAGGGATTACTCCCTTCACAATATTGCAGACATCTAAAGTCGGAGGTTATAGTATTTAAAAAATGCCATTGTTAACATTAAAGGTAATATTAGACGTTTCCTTATAAGGAAACATTCATCGTTTATTGACCGAGCAGCCAGTGGTGCTGTCGGTGGAAATTTATAAAATCTTTCTCTTGAAACAATTTTTCAGGAAAATACCTTTCTCAAGTTCAGTAACTATTTTAATATTGATATGGTTTCCTTCCTAGCCTTTTGTTCAAAGTAGTGGGGAAATCATTATCTTGATTATGTCTTTATTTTCTCTTTGCTTTACATGTGCTATTCATTTTAGTTGTTGCTTCTGTTGAAAGTCTTCAAATGATATGGTTTCTCTTATCTGCTACAGTTCTTTAAGTTTACAAAGTTCAAAGAAGGATGAACTATTAGAGAGGGGTTCTTCCTCATGCTCAAAGTTGTGTAGAATTTCAGTATCTTGATTAAGACATTATTTTCTCTTTGGGTCATATGTGCTATCCATTTTAGTAGTTACTGATGTTGAAAGTCCTAAAGTCATTTTTTCTACCACTGTTCAACCGCCAATTATTCTGTTAAAAAAAAGACAAAGATTTCTATTCTAAAACATTTGTCTACTAAACAAATTTAGTTAATAATTGCACAGGTAGAAATGGCACAGGTAAAAATGGCACAAGTGGGAAAATAGGAAGAAATGGCACAAAGCGAAAACATACAGGAAAACAAATGAAATGCACAAATTATCTATTCAGTAAATTCTGAATATATATATATATAAATATCGAACTAGTAACTCTATAATCAGACGTCAGTTGACTCCTAGTCCATTTGCCATCAGTGGATCTATCACAACCCCACCATGGAAGTTATAGCAAGGAATAAAGGAGAAGTGATTTGTTTCCAGGGCTACATGTATAAAAAATAGATTGCAAGATCAGCTACTATCAGATGGAGATGTGTTAAGAGAACATCTGTTTTGTAAAGGTGCCATGGCCACCAGCCTTGACATGACTAATTCCCGCAGCAGCTAAAATCTACAACCAAACTCCAGCTAGTGAAACAAAACGAATAATTTCATTATTATTTACTTTTATTTTCGTATTTTACCAATGAAAGTTGATCCAGTATACATGTTAGTACTTCGTATGTCCATTCCACGAAGTCGTTCCTTGCAGATTGTACTGTACTGTACTGATGCGGCATTCACCCTGGGCGGATTGAGCCGGCTTCTTCCTGTTATGAGAAGAAGATTCTTGGGATAAATTACAGAAGTAGGGTACCCAGGCCTACACGGATAACGTTCTTGCTTGCCGCGGGGTTCCTACAGACGCAGAGACAGGAACGACCAGAAGCCGCCGGTTACCGATGCAGACGCTCCTTGGATTTTCACCAGAGCCCTTGTTAGCCGGCGTGTGTGTCAGACCTGTCCGCCTTGGGTGGCCCTACCAGGAACGAAGATTGACCACAGATTCTCGCTTGGATTTAAATCAGGAGAGTTTCCGGGCCAGTCTATAGTACATTGATTTGCTCATCTGTAAGGCTTGCCAGTGTGTGCAGCTTTACAAATTTTCGTACGCTTCCTTGGAGTAACGTCTATCGTAGACAATCACCGTAGGACAACTAATCGACAGCCGAGACAATAGTGTCTGGGCGTGATGAAAATCTTATGTAATCACGGATGACGTAATATTTTTCAAGCTCAAACAAATTTCATCATAAACTCCGAAAATAGATCCATATTACTGCGCACCATTCCAAATGACGTAATCTAAGGAAAAAATAGAAATCGATTACACTCTGTCACTCTAGTGGGTGTAAAATTGGCCATATAGCGAAAGAAAGGAAACTAAAGCGGTTGTTTCAATTGATTTGTACAATGGTGTAGTTTGACGAATTGCTTCAATTTATGCTTAAATAATGAGTAAATATTTATGCCGCACGTTAATGGAGGTGCAAGTTGCAACTCTGCCGAAGTGCGCATTATATGTTGAAAAACCCAAGCCGGTCGGCATGTAATATTCTGTTAAAATACAAGAGATGTCTACTCAAAGATATGTATCCACAAAAATACCATTTATAGTCATTACAGCTAGCTACTTACACTAGCAAATAATATCTGTAAAATTATATAATTTAACGTATAACTAATTGCTGAGAATTTTCACGCTTATAAAGTTTTCAATATACGACTAGAGCGATAATTTCTAATAAAATAGAAGTAAAAACTTTCAATATTTATCGAAGGTTAACTCAGAGTATCGTCTTATTTGAATTATTCACCATTTTTTGTTTAGTTTTTAGTTCTTTTAATTTACCTGGATTGTGTGAATTTCTGACATGGGTACTGAGCGTCTCTCCCGTGAGTTCTCTGCATCTAAAACTGCATGTCTCGTGGGTTCAACATAAAAGCCAAATGTTCATTTGAAGTCAAAATTTACTGGAGAAGAATATTCCATTAACATTTAAATGTGAAAAATGTTGAATTAACTTCCAAGTAATGAGACCAAAACTCCTAAATCCGAGTGGTAATAAAAAAAACTTACTGGCAGTTGATATAATAGTCAAAGACACACACAATGATTGAGTGTTGCTGAATGAAATTATAAGGAATTGGGTATTAAGAGCATTGTGAGGACGAATAAGATAGATATCTGTTGACCATCGACTATGAGTGTAGTTATCAGGTACGAATTCACACAAGAGTTTATTGTTTTAATTTTTGTGATGGGTACTCCCTGTTTCGCGAGTTCTCTTCATTTATAACTGCCTGTCTCTTTCACGAGTTCAATTTAAAAGCCAAATGTTCATTTGGAGTCAATATTTACTGGAGAAGAATATTCAGTTAACATTTAAATGCGAAAAATG